TTTTCCTCTGTAGATTTTCTCCTGCAATCCAACCCACAATGGACCTGCTTTCCCTCCAGAGGCCGTCAGCTGTGCTTCAGCCATTCACCCAAGGGAGCAAGCCAGCACGCAGGACGGAATTAAGAGAAGCAAACCCAACCCCAACCAAACCCAACAACAAATTCTTCCTGCCCCTCCTGCACGCACTGCTGGCCCTCAGCACCGGGGCCCAGACCCCACCATGAGCCCCTCACCGCAGCAGGGCTCTGCTATACAGCCAGCTCCCCACCTTGGTCTGCTATGGATTCACCAGGCGGAGGGGACGAGATGACCAAGGGGTTGTCACCTACCCCTCTCCTGCTCCCTCCTTAGCATCCCCCAGGGCTGCGTGGCCACAGCCTGGCACAGGCCACAGGCACCGGCAGGAGCCGGGGGAGCCAGCACGCTCACGAAACATCCCTGAGGAGCCAGCTACACGTACTCCTCACAAATCAATTTGGGAATTCGCTTGTAATTAATCCTGCATATCAGTTCCTCTCATTATTTCTTAATGTAATTAAGTTATTAATTTATATGTTCCCCCCTCCCTTTCCAAAGCAAAGCAAAGGGCCGGATCAGAGGGAGGCAGGGGAGATGCTGGGTGGTAGCGCGGGGCCGTGAACCCCGATTACCCAAGCACATGCCAAGCCCCAGTGCCGTCTCCCTGGGTGACTTCAGGTGGGTCACTGGCACCCTGATTTTCCAAGAGGGCTGAGTGATTCCGATTCCTCTAGAATCAACAAGAGCCAGGATACAAAGTTCAATTAACCTCTCTGGGTCCCAGTTTATCCAGCCAGAAAACCGCCGGGGCAGGGAGACAGGCTGGAACTAATTAATGCTTACAAATGCTACAGCCTCTGCTGAAAGGCATGGAGGGCAGGAGGCATCCATGAGTCCCAGCTGATCCGTAACCCCGGGCAGCCCCATGTCCTTACACCCTCATCCATCAGACTTGGCTTTCCTGCAGGCTGAGCCCCCGGCTGCTAACCAGGCACCCTGCCGGGCCATGCGGGCCGTGCACCCTGGCAGAGGCAGGCACACCGCTACGGCTCCCTTCTCAGCCAATTTATAGGACTTTATAAAGGGCAGGGAAAGGGCAAGGGCAAGTTTTGCTTACTGCACTAATAGGGCTTGATCTGCCCTTTGGAAAACTAAAAAAACCCAAACACCAAGTGACAGCAGTAATAAGTGCAGCGGAGGGACCAGGAGTTTGTCCCGGGAACAACTTCGCAGTCCTAAATGGAGCAAATTATGTTCTTCTACATGTTACCAGCCCTGCAAGGTTACTACACCCCACAGCTGGGAGGGAGTCCCACACCCTAAAATCCAGCCTCAGCCTGCTCCGGCCGCCCTGGCACGTACCGCCAGTGGCTGCAAGTGGCAGGGAGGAGGAGGAGGGAAAGTAGGAAACAGGGACTGAGGGGAGGAAGGGCTGGCAAGAAGGGGAGCCCTCTGAGCCTGCCCACCACCAGGCAGTGGTGAGAGGTCCACAGAAATAGGATTAGAGGGGAAAAGAGGGAAAAAAAAAATAAATAAAGAGGAGATGAAGCCAAGTTAATTACAACAGACGGCCGCACCTACCTCTTCGGGCACGAGCAGCTCAGGAAAGCTCAGCTGCCGCTGTCAGACCTGCCCCGAACGCCCGCCGGCGCTGCGAGAGGCCACGCCGTCAGCGTGTTTTGGGGTTAGACAGGACTCGAAGACCGCGGCAGATCCCTCGCACCAAGGATCAGCTCCTCGGAGACCTTGCTGACCCCAACACAGGGTTCTCCAGCTATAGCAAAAAACATCAGAAGCCTTCCTTTGGGAAGCTGAGAGCACAGGATTTGGGGTAAAGGGTGAGGGGGGACCGCAGACCAAAATAAAAGCAATGGATGGGCAAGCCCTCCACACAGCCAAGGGCGGCAGCTCCGCGAGAAGCAGCTCTGCCACTGGCCCTTGGCAAGCCACCAACGCGCCACGGCCGGCCAGCAAGCTCGGGCACCGTGGCCTTCTGGCATTGAACACATGCCGCAAGCCCTGCTGGGAGACAGGCACGGGCAGGAGGAGGCATTGCCACCTGGAGCCTAACTAGAAGGGTCTAAAGGTTAAATCCACATGAGGCATGATATATGGTGTGCATATGGCCACAGAAATAAAGCTCAACTGAGAGAGAAGGCAGAAGGGGGGGGGGCGGGGAATAAAAAAAAAAAAACAAAAAAAACACATGTCGGAAAACGCTGCCAGGAAACTTGATGTGAATTTGCTCCATTTCTCCACCATAGCTATGTTACAAAGTTTGCGCTGCCATTAGCAACCTACTGCCTCCAGTTTCTCAAGGAATTTGGGAGGACAACTCTAACTGCTCAAGTTTCCACCATCGGCAGCCAGTCCCGCTGGCCAAGGGAAGGGGACACACTGCCAGGCTCCCCTCCGGACCACAGCATCTCTGCCTCTGGTACCCACGTCAGCTCCACAGCCGTTCAGAGGGGTTAACCGAAGTGACACCACGTCTCTGCGCTCACAACCAGCTTATAATTCATACTGCTCAAAAGCGGCTTCCAAAGCCAAAAAATGTAATGCATTAAAAAAAAGAATCTGCACTCTACGGATCTCAAGGGGATGCAACTGTTTTGATGGAAAATTCAGAGGAAATGAAGGAGAGGCAATTTTAGCAGTCAACTTGCTGGAGTTATGGCAACTTGGCGGTTGCAGCTTCGAAACTCAGGGCCTGATCCCGCGTGACGGGAGAAGTTCGCTTCGCCAGCCATGGGAGCCCAGCCCGGCCCCTAACAGCATCAGCAACCCACACCCCAGGGTGGGGGGAGCCTTGAACGGGAGCAGACAGCCAAAACGGGCCGCAAAATGAAACAGCAACTCAGCTGCAGCTGGTGTTAAGTGAGAAGCAAGGTTCATTTCAAGGAGAATACAGGTGCTCACGTCAAACAGGGGAGGTCTCATTTCGCAATTTTTCAGAACGCAGCTCTGATAGAAACCTGTTGCCACCAAAGCATAGTTACGGTTAAGAAAGCGCTTGTCTTCTAACTCTGTTTTCAATGACTTATTATCTTTCCCAGCTTAAATAAATAAATAAATAAATAGTGTATATAATTATTTATTTTGGGGCCTGAAATCGCACAGATGCATTCCCCTCTGCTAGGACCGAAAGATTTCTGAAAGCCTGAACAAACCTCCTCAATCATTTTTGTTTAAAAAACATGGAAAACCAATAATTCCTCAGGATGAAAAAATCAAAGCAAGCTTTATGAGTTCTGACTTTTTTTTTTTCTCTAATCAGGCCGTTAATTCAGTTGCAGAGGTGACACATACACGAGACTCTGTGAAGACCTGGCCAACGCATATAGTTGCCGTAAGTCATGGGATAAACACTCAGTTGGGTGTCACTGGTGCAAAAACAGGGCTGAGGGCTCGCAGCCTTCCTCTGCCACGATAACCCTTAATCTCAGCAGGTTTTCAGGACCTGGGCTCTAACCCCGATTAATTTATTCAGGATTTACAGCAGTGTAACTAAGAGCAGCATCTCATCTGTGTCCTTTGGAAAGTTAACCCTCAGCTAAGCTCAAGCCGCTCTCGGCTATTAAAGAAGAGAGGACATGGGACCTTGTTCAAACGAAGCTGCTTGCAGCTCCCTGCTCTTCGCAGCGTTTGGGCAGCAAAACTCCTCTGTTTCACTCCCTGTGTCGAGCGGGATGCTCTTCGCATCTCTGCCGTGCTGTCGCTCCAGGGACTCAAACACGACACAGAGACACGCGATGGCAAATGCACCCTTCTTCCACCCAGGCTGAGACCTACAGGGCAACGCTCCTACCCTCGCCCTGCCTTCAAGCAAAACCAGTAATTAAAAGCCGCAGCGAGTTACCCCGGCTGATGTACCTGCGGCTTTGCAGCCGATGCACCCCAGCCACAGACCACCTAAATGCTCTACATCTGCTCCCCTCTCTTTTCGGCCAGGGGACAGGATCGAGCCCTTCTCGTTTAGGAGAGGGCTCGGAAACGCTGCGTGACCCACGGGGGGAACGAGTCACCCGTCCCCCGTGAGCGACACGAAACACGGACTTCGTCTTCTTGGGGCGTGCCGGCATCCCGGCTCCCCGGGGACCCAAGGCCCGAAGCCAGGGATGCTCGAAGTCGACGGCGGTGCAGAGGGCCG